AACGAAACAATTCTGCGAGACATCCTCAGTTTTTGACGGTGCTAACATCAAACACGAAGCAACTCTGCGAGACGTCTTCAATTTTTGAATTGGACAACATCAAAAACGAAGAAGTTCTGCGAGACCTCTTTAATTTTTGAATTGGATAAGATCAAAAACGAAGAAATTCTGCGAGACCTCGTCAATTTTTGAACAATTGGATAACATCAAAAACGAAGAAATTCTGCGAGACCTCTTCAATTTTTGAAGTTGGCAACATCAAAAACGAAGAAATCCTGCGAGACTTCTGCATTTTTTGAAGTTGACAACATCAAAAACGAAGCAATCCTGCGAGACTTCCTCCATTTTTGAAGTTGGCAACATCAAAAACAAAGCAATTTTGCGAGACGTCCTTCAAAAATGCAAAGTTGAGCGCAAAGCTGACGGCCTCGTACCAATGCGTTTTGCGATTTTTCCCTTCTATATCTCTAAAGTACTGCGCTTGCCACGGAAACATGAGTCCAGGTCATACGAAGTGCTGCGCCTGTCACGAAAAAACATCTTAGCAAAGCTGATGATCTGATGCTCCGAAATGGAACCTCTCTCAGGAAATCTGCTCCTTGACCTCCGAACATCTCTGCTGAAGATGCCTCTTGTAGTGCGCCTGCCACGAAAAAAGCAGCTTTCCAGATCCTCTTCCAATGTCCCACGCCTGCCATCATTTTTGAAAATACCCCAAAAACCTTCACGTTTGAGTCACTTTTGACAGGGTGCAGAATCCACTGCGCCTGCCACGCAAAATATCAAAACGACGTCTCAACGTCCAAACGGCGCGAACATGTGGTGTTTTTAGCATTTTGACTTGGGAAATGTGCTTCGCACCACAACGGAGTGCACTTTTTCAACGTCTCCACTTCCAAAAATGCTTTGACCCTGACGTGTTTTGTGCGTTTTGACTTGGAAACGTGCTTCGCGCCACAGCGCCGTACACTTTTCCCACATCTCAACTTCCAAGAGTGCTCCGAACCCCGTAGTTTTTAACACATTTTATTTCCCAACGTGCTTCGCGCCACAGCGCCGCACACTTTTTCAACATCTCGATTTCCAAAAGCGGTCCGAGGCTGTCAGTTTTTAACCATTTTTACTTCCAAATGTGCTTCGCTGCAGAAATATATCACCATAATGTACAGCTGGGTGAGCCTAATGCATTCCCTGCGCCACTCTACGTTTTGGCTCGAGTAAAAGAGGCGCTCCGTAGCGCCCAGGTTTGTGAGTAAATAGTTTTGCATGGTAGCGTAGAGCTAAACGTGAAAGGGACCTACTACCGTGGTAAAGAGGTACTCGCCCACAGCACGGCTGTGGCAGCACGAGAGGTTCGAGACAGGGAATCAAGTGAGGAAGAGAACACTCCAGACTTTGGAGGTGGTGGGGAGCCAGTAGCTCCCGGGCCCATATAGTGGGCGCCAGCGGTCCAACAGAGACCGAAGGAGGAGCTCCCGAAGGAGGAGCTGAGAGCGGGCCGGCAGAGCCCGAAGGCCGAGAAGCGGCCGAGGAAGGCGGCTCGACAGAGGCCGCAGAAGGACCCACGGAAAGGGTCGCGCTCGGGGTGGTACCTAGAAGAGGACTGAAAACTCGGGAGCGAGTTAGAGTACTCAGTAGTTAGGGGTTTATCCCTCACACAAATCCAATCCCACACTCAAATCTCTTTTCACCAATCACCAAGCCAAGTGGCAGCGTGGCTGAACAGAGCACAGGTTTTCATACGCCCTCAAGGGTGAGCAAAAATTGGCCACAGTTCATACTCCACCTTCTCAACGCTTCTACTTGAAGCAACGTTGGAACTCCATGCTTTCTCCTTTCTGCCAATCGATCTTCTTCAAATAGAGGGCAAGGTCCACGGCTTGGGTCATCTTGACCTTGTGGATGTCCTCATTGGCCGGAGAGAAATTGGACTGGATCCACTGCAGGTAGCGGTGGTGCTCACCATTTGACTCAGCCATCTTGATCAATTCCTCATAGGAAAGGTTGAGATCCTTGTACTTCTTCATCTTGATGATGGTGCGTCCCCAGTCTGCCACGGAGGCAACACCGGATGGCAAGGGAATGCCAAATCCCTTCGGCAGCAAGTCATGCTGGGCCAAAGGCTTGCTCCCACGGGGCTTCTCCTCAGAGCTCTTCGGCACGAGGATCGGAAACTCCGAGCCATTTGACACCTCATCCCATTCAGATTCTGAGTCCAGGCGGCGCTTGGAGGCATCAGACATCGCTTGCTTGACCTCTTCAATCACACCAGCAGCGTTGACTGCCGTTCCACGTCCATGGATGTGATGAGAAATCTTCATCACCAAGCGATTGCCCTGCTCATGCACCACTGCTCTATGAAGGAGCTCGGCTGCGCGGTCCATCTCTGGCTCCGTCAAGGCGCCATCAGACACGGTGTCGCTTTTGGACATCTTTGAGGCACGGCCGGACATCCTAGCTATGCAGGCAACTATGTCACTCCGTCGGCGGAGATTGGAAGCTTTACTGAACTGCCCAAATGCTGCGCTGTTTCATCGGCTGCATTCGGCTGGCAAAACTCTATACAAGTGCTTTGTCGGAAAACTGCATGATTACCCTTAAGGTTATCATCCGTACTCACAGGTTAATTAATTAAGGCCCTTACCTATCGATTTCCCCACATTTATTAATACACTATACATGCATGGAGATTCTAACGATTGGCTTGGCACTTCGGTTGCAGCATGCTATTGCTTTGGCAAAATGCCAGGGTCACCTTTCGCCTTTTCCTTTCGACCTGATTCAGTGCATGGTTTGATGTGGTATGTCCACCTTTGAAGGATGTCAAACAAGGGACGATGATCAGCTTTTAACTTTGTCAAAGAATCTGCGGCCATTCTCAAATTGTTGATCCAGAAGGCAAGTATGTTTTGATTTTCCATAGTTTCTTTTGCAATGGCATAATCAATTTGAAGCCTACGTTCAACTGATATCGACTGACTGCAGCAACTTCGGGTTATGGCGTCATAAAACCCCTTTGAATCCATTACAATGGCGGCTGGATTTTCAGGTTTGAGATTACGAAACTCTTTGGGGGACACTCCATGAAGGGTTTCAGACATGAGAGCCTGAAGCATTTCGATGGCGTCAAGTCCATTTTGACCTGCAAGAGTCTCTGCTGCTACTGAAGATCTGACGGCACGGCGAAGCTTCTTAGAGCTCCAATCCACGATCCAACACCGGGCTGGCCTTTGTTCAAGCATTGGACTGGCTACCAGGCACAACAAGTATCCGCCCTGTGATTCACCATTACCCCTTGTACCCCAACCCGCATCTGTGATGGCCATTATGCGCCAATCTTTGATGGGAACATCGCTTGGGAACTTGAGGCATACACGGTTCTCTTTCATCTCTCGGACTGCCTTGTTGTATAGCTGGATGTGCGAGACACTTCTTTTGTCCTGCATGCCTTGCAAGTAAGACGACAAGAATGCTTGATCGGGTCTGGTGCTGTTTGCGACCCATGCAAGCTGTCCAGCACATTGTCTCAAAAGACTTGGATTGGTTAACGCAGTGCCAGCACTCCCCAATTGTTTGGTGGGAACTTGATTGAGACCATCAATATAGGATTCCTGTCCTATCTCTATACTATAATTGGTTGGGTCCTGTCTGATTTCTACCCCAGTATATCGAATTGTGAAAGTACGATAATCCCCAAACGGCAACTTGCGCTTGAGCTGGTTCAAGACTGTGTCCATTTCCTTAGTACCGCCACCTAGCATATCATCAACATGTATTCCACAAATACCAAGCAACTTTCCTGATTTTCGGAGGGTAAAAAGACATGGGTCTAATTTACTTTGGGTGAGGCCTGCGGAACTCATTTCTCTAGTGAGGCGCAGAAACCATGCTCGGGGTGCTTCTGCTAATCCGTATGCCGCCTTTTCTAATTTCATTAGATCCCCTTCATCTAGTTTCATCCACTGCCGAATTTCTGGAGGAGGCTTGAAGTAGATTTCACGACTTGATGGGTCTCCTGACAAGAACGCTGTTTTGATATCGGCTCCCCACAACACCCAGTGCATTGCAGCACATATTGAAAGGACAAGGGACTTGGATTCCTTCCTAAGTGTTGGGCTATCTGTTGCGATCCTCCCTAACTCTGGATCCTGCCAACCTACCAAAACCAAACGGGCTTTTGGGGTCTGCTGTTTCACGTCAGGGTCTGATGACTTTTTCCATACCAACACCCATCTAGCTTTGATGATTCTTTCTGTTGGGATCCCACGAGACTTACAAATAGTGGTGACTTTATTTTCAACCCATGAATTCCATTCCTTTTGCATGGCACCTTCAAACAACCGTTTATCTTCGGGGCTCAGCTTACGGAAGTTTACTTCTACCCTGCGTTGTTTGGCTGCTGCAGGGGTTGCCATGAAACATCCATCAAGAATTCCCCATAGGAAGTGTGGATTGTCACTCACATCAGTTGCAAGGATATCTAGGGATACTTCCAAGACTTGTTCAACCCTTTTGCTATTAACCATCAATCCATCATCATTATCCGGGACTGGAGTATTGATTGGAATGCTGGGATCTACTGGAACACTGCTGGAACCTAAAGCGGCACCTGCTTCGGCTGATGGTGCATGCACGGCTGACTCGGCTTCAGCTCCAGGACTTTCAGTTGGCTCCACAGCAACAGAAGATGGTTCTACAGGGGGGTCCATTATTTCATCAGGATTATCTTCTCTGGGACTATTAGCTGGGGTTGTTGGTGCATAGTCATCATCACGTTGTTGTTCTGCTTCTCCAGTGTTTAGCTTTCTGCGGTGAGCTGGGCGCTCATCTCGGAATTCTTCTGGAATTGTTGGCATGATTGTTGGTTGTGCGCCCTCTTGGATGGAACCCAGGGGTGGCATTCCTCTACTGCGTTTTTGCCAATACTCTGTGGATCGGTTAATACGCATTCTTACTTTACGGGGTGCAGGAAGCCCATCATCGCCCTCCAAGTTGGGACGTTAGGTGGATTTTCGAGGCTTGTCCATCGGGTCATCATCGTCATCGTCGCCATCATCTTGTTCATCAGGTTCATCAATGACATCTTGATCAAGCTCAAAGTCATCATCATTTGGGAGCTCTTCTGTACAGTCATGGAACTGGCCAGCGCGCTCTCGCAAGTTCTGCTCTGCAGCTTCTACGTCAGGATGCAACCTACCTTCTGCTAACTGCTTGGCTAGACGACGGAACTCCGATTCATCTTCAGGGACTGGTCGTAAACCCTCGGGTGAACATTTGTACAAAAACCCATTCCAAGCTACCCAAACAACACGGGGAACATGATGTCCTCGGGAACTTTCACAACCAATTACCCTACCGGGACACTTCCAATATCCATTACGAGTGGTCAATTGGCCTTTGCCTTTTCTTCTAAACAGATACATTAATTGACCTGGCAAGTAAGGACCTCGGAGTGGCCTGTTCCTACCGGAGATGGCTCTACGCCACACATCTTTGGCATGTGACTCTTGGAAGGCTCTGGCTGCATCCGCTCGGAGATGCATCTTTGCTTGGAAAGACGGATCTGCCAGTATTTGAGACTGGACTGCAGGATCTTCCTGTGCTTCGACGTCAACAAGCCATCCTGCGACCAAGGAACCATTGGGCAGGGCTGTAACCAGATTTTCTCAACAGAGAGTTTCTCACACTGGAACATGTTTCAATCACTTCTTCCACAGGACGACTTGTTGTTCGCCAAACGCGGCGAGCTATGTCACGCAGGACTCTGTTGGCGATTTCAACACGACCAAGCTGCCAATGACTATCAGCGGCGCAATGCAGTAGGTTTATGCCATTGTGCATCATGTATTCTTGGAAATCCTTAGACAAGTTTATCTGGTGTGGGTCCATATAAATTGTCCTAGGGGCTCCATAGGGTCTAGTCCATACTGCATGAAACGCTTTCGACAGATTGTTTGTACCGGTCTCAGGCACGATAATCTGCTGGCAAAAGTCCGTGGCAAGACACACACAAGTCAGGGCATTGAATTTCCGCTCCAACATGTCACCCTTCTCTTCCTCTCTTTTGACCTCTATCTGAACGTAATCAACAGCCACAACTTGATTGGGTTGGTCAGCATGAGGCATTGCTGCATTACGTCTCAAGGTTGGCAATTTGAGTTCTTCACAAACCGGACAATGGAAGTTACGGATGACATCTTTTATGGTGTCTGACGAGTGGCATCGGTTGGCCAGGCGCATCATCTGTTCCGGTGATGAGTGTCCTGTGTTGATGTGCAACTTTGTTACTATCTGCTTAGCTCGTGCTCTTGTTTCAGATGCTGGTTGAACTTCGGCATCACCGGCTGGTGCTTCAACTGGCAAACCATCTGCATCAAACTCATCATCCAGTGCATACACGTATTCCTGTGTGCTTGCTGTCGGAATATCGGCTTGCTGGACATCTTGGGCTATCAGTTCAGAGATGATGTTACAAAACTTTGTGGGGTAAGTTTATCTTGGACAAGTTTATCCCCTTATACTTACCCTCCAGATGGCCATGATTGTGCCGGTGGTCGCATCTGTACAGTTGCATGCTTTCGGCAAGGCTTTGCTGCGTAGTCACCAGTCTCGTTGGTTTCAGAACTGGTAACTTGGTTTTCGGACACCGAAGTCCCAAGGCACATTGGTCAACACGGATGTCACAGACTTCACCTAAGTGCAGTTCTCCCCAAGCTTCACTAGTAAGGGGGTTTTCTCCATGACAATGACCTCCAAGAGCTGTTTGGAGTGCCCAGGCTTCAGTAACGGCATGCAAATGTCGGCGGGCCTTCGCCCTCTGAGCTAAGATTCGATCACGGCAAGAACCACCCCTAGTCATGTTGAACCTACTCCATGGTCCCCAACACCCGCATGGAAAAGAGAACCAAACATGTCGTGGCCTTTTGTATGCAATCAAGGTCATGAGCATTCTACGGTCTTTCAACTGATCTAAATCATGTCCATAGTCATAACCAATTTTGATACTAGGCAACTGGAGTTTTTGCTCAACCCGCTTGGCTAGGGGGGCTTTACCAGTGAACACCTCCAGGAATTGGATAGGCTGATCCAAGGCACTGCTTTGTGGTCCTAGCCATTCTGCTAGCTCCTGACGCACGGTTTCCGGTTCTTCAAGAACCCTTGTCATGACCAGCTGAGCCTGAGTCCTACGCAGTGACGACACGGCTGAAAGCAGTTTTTCCTGGGATTCTTTTGACAACTGTTTTGTGTTAATGTCCAACCAGTCCATTTCTTCATACAACACTTCTATGTCATCCCCACAACTATCCCCATCATGTCCCTCGTGACCTACTTCTAACTCACTGCAACAGTAACAGTTAGGCTCAGCCGGATGGTCCAAAGACCTTGGCATTTGGTCGGATGACTGTGGTGAGTCAGGTTTTTCGGACGGCTTAGCTGTCACGGGGCGATATGCAAACATGGCAATGCTCACATGTGGGACACGGCTTCTGGTGGATCCTGCAGGGCGAACTGACCATGGGGAAACTGAGAACTCTCCTCCCGGTGTCAAGGTCAGAACAGATTGTTGGATCTCAACATCTGCAGCTATGTTGGGGATTCTTTCAAGTTTGGGCTTATATGCTATCATGGCATGCGAAACCTCAGAACCTGAAATACCATAGATTGTTTTCAACTCTTCTTGAAACCGTTGAACATCAACAACACCATTCTTTGTGTTTTTGGCTATATGCTGAAACGCTCTACGCCTATCCCCGGTAGTTGTCTTCCCATTTCGTGGTGATCTACCCTTATTACCCATTGGCTTTCTGGTACACTGGTCCTCGGTGGAACCAGGGCTTTCCATGGGCACGGATGGCGTCGGTGAGTCGGCAGGGTCAGCATCATCATTGGGCTCATGTTGGTGCAGGCAAACATCTGCACGGATCATCGTTTCGGCAAGCTGGCTTTCTTCAACATGGAGATCTTCAGGAATTTCATACAAGGGCATCAAGAAATGACCATTGGCTGCCTGCCTCAGAGGCGTGTTGAACATGCCATGTGGTTCACTGGTGATCGACTTGTTGCCCAAGTCAATACAGGCTTTCATTCCTTCCAGAACTCTACGAGACAGCAGGAATGGCGTCTGTCCAGGCACAAGGTATGTAGTGACAGATCCCCACAACTTACCAAGCTTGACATGCCAACGTAAACCAGTCGTTGTTTCAACTTTTCCACCCTGAAATCCTTTCAACTCCACCGGAGGCAGTTCGCAGGCTGTTGGCTGCGGCAGGCTACGTTTCTTCAGGAAGTCCTTGAACTTGTCGGCAGTCTCGCTACCAATCACTGATGTTGTACAACCTGTATCAAGGATTGCATGTCCTTCCGGAATGCTGGCTAACAGAACTTCCTCTGAGGACCATGTACTGGCTGAGGTTGCAAAACTGTTGGAAGCTTCAACCATGTATGCAAACGAACTAACCAGAATGGACTCGGTCATGTTGGCCTCTTCCTTCTTGGACTGACGACCTGATTCTTTCTGCCTACTCTTGGAAAAAGGCTTGCTACTCGATGGCTTTTTGTCATACTTGAATGTGCTTTTCTGCAGAGGCACCTGAGTCTGAGAAGGCTGAGAAGACTGGCTGGCATCCTGAGGTTGGTTGAGTGCTACCACAGGATAGTATGGTTGCCGGTTTCTTTTCAACTCCTTGACTCGTTTCTTGGTTTCTTTGTAAGTCTTGAATGACTTACGGAACTTCTCTTTGGATTTCCTCTGCAGTTCATACACTTCTTCAAGTTCATTTCTGAATTCTTCCTCACTTGAATCCAGCTGGTCAACGGCCATGACATCATCGCTTTGAGAATCATCGGACTCACAAGCAACACCCAGGCTGGATGAATCACTCTCAACTGCATGAACTTGTTCTTGGACTGCATAAGCTTCTCGGCGGCCGGGACGTTGAGCTCGACGATCATCATGCTTGGGCTTCTCTTCCAGATCTGAATACGTTCAACATCAACAAACCTCGAGGAACCATTTGTCGATCGAACGATCTGTGCTCTTTGTTCTCGGGAGAGGCCATACTTACGCATGAACAGATGACCCAAGACAGACTGTGGAAAAATCGGTCTGGGCTTGATGTGCCCCATTTCCAAGGTTCCCAACATCTGCTTCATCTTGAGTTGTGATTTGGCCCAGTCAGCTTCATATTTACCATGAGTGCTATGTTGTTTTCTCCTGGAACCTTGACCTGTGCTTGCAGCAGACTCGGAAGTGGTCCGACGACCTTCAGGCTGTGCATGCTCGGCTGTTCCAGTCTCGGTGGCACGTGGTGCATCGGCTGGCTGTGACGGCTCGGATGCTCCAGGCTCGGCTGCAGACATGCTAGGCACGGCTGATGCCGCTGCTGATCGGTGGGACGCAGCATCATGCTCTGGCCCAGTACCTTCGGATGCAGTATGCTCCATCTCACTATCGAAGGCTTCATCCACAGGTGGGATGTCGGGTGCTTTGTCAGTGGTTCGACGGCGCTTGGACTTGGTCATCTCACGTTCCTGACTGATCAAAGTCTCTACTCTGGCAAGTTGAGTCCTGAATCTACTTGCGAAGGCAGTTGCTCCTTCGCCTTGTCTTCGTTTCAAGGCAAACAGAAACTCATCTATGCTTTCATGCAACTCTGTCTCAGGAAGGTACTTGTAGTGCTCGTCCAAGGCTCGAATCACTATCATGAAACCTTCAGGCGATCTTAACTGAGAGATATTGAGGTGCTCTGTAGCACGCCATGCTTCACCGCTCAGTCGCGAGAGGAGTCGAGGACCTGCAAGGTGTGAGTGCTTATCCTCTAACCCAGCAATCGCCAGAAGTGTCTTTCGACGAAAGTCACGGTACCCAGAAGGTTTCCCATCAAAGGTAATTCCATTCAAGGCATCTTTGCTGCCCTCCATTGAGGCAGCCACCAGTTGACCGTAAGGTCTGTTTCCAGGCTTAGGACTGTTGTCCTCACTAACACCGCAAAGGCGCAAGCGGAAGCGGAACCCGCTCCGCTACCATGAAAACTCGGGAGCGAGTTAGATACTCAGTAGTTAGGGGTTTATCCCTCACACAAATCCAATCCCACACTCAAATCTCTTTTCACCAATCACCAAGCCAAGTCTGGCTTCAAGGGCCCTGTGAGCCATAGATATTGCGAACACTTCCCTATCAGACATGTGCGTGTCATCCTTGCAATGCCAGCGTGGCTGAACAGAGCACAGGTTTTCATATAGCTCCCGGGCCCATATAGTGGGCGCCAGCGGTCCAACAGAGACCGAAGGAGGAGCTCCCGAAGGAGGAGCTGAGAGCGGGCCGGCAGAGCCCGAAGGCCGAGAAGCGGCCGAGGAAGGCGGCTCGACAGAGGCCGCAGAAGGACCCAGGGAAAGGGTCGCGCTCGGGGTGGTACCTAGAAGAGGACCATACCCCGTAGCAACCTCAGAGAATGTGGGGAACGGTACACCTACTCTGAGGTAAGGCGGATCGAAGAATCCGAGCAAGAAGAAAGAGCCAGAGAAAGAGCCACAGGAAAAGAAAAGGGAACAAAAGGGCCTAAAGGAAACAAAAGGAAAGGTTGAGCAGCGGCTAGCGGAAAACCCCAATAGACGCTGGCGAAGCGCTGAGGCCTTAGAAAGGAAAAGAAAGAAGAAAGGAAAGGGGATCGGACCGGCAGAGTCCGTGAGCAAGAAACCCCGTGTGCAGCAAAGGCCAAGCCCGAGAGTATCCGAGCTGTTTCCAACAGAAACAGAAACAGAAGACGAGCGTAAGCGCAGGCAGAAGCCTTGAAAAAGCTCGCAAACAGACCGAGTGGTTCAAGGAACTGGCCAAGAAGGAGGTCAAGCGAGAGAGAGAAAAGAAGGAGCAAGAACAGACAGAGAAGGAACGCAGGGAGCAGCTGAGGCGAGATAAAGCTGAACCTGCGGAACGGCCGAAGGAGGAGCCAAAGGCCGAAGCCACAGAGAGGTCAGACAAGAATCCTAAGGCCGAACAGGCTGAGCGGCCGGACAAAAGGTCAAAGGCCGAGCCAGTTCGCAAGAGGAAAGCGGCCGAGGAAAAGAAGAAGCCCAGGCCGAAGGCTGGACGAGGGTTGAAAAGACCGGCATCTGCAAGGCCGACATCCGAACCCAAGTCCAAAGCAAAGAAGGAACATCCATCAGATAGTGAGTACACCTATACGGACGTGTACACTTACGAGTGGGAGTCCGAGGAAGAAGAGACAGCGGCGGACTACTTCTGATGGATCCAGCAGTGCAGACGGCACTGCAAGAGCTTCAAGCTCAAGTACAGCAGCTTCAGGCTGAAAATGTTTCACTCAAAACGGGACAGCAAGTCCTGCAGCAGGAAAATGAACTGCTCAAAGCGCAGCAGACAGGGTTTTCGGAGATGGCCAAGTCAATCGGGGACTTAGCTCAAACCCTGGAAACCAAAAGTGAAAGAAAGGATCGTAGGTTGTTGGTAGATACCAAGGATTTAGGAAAACCAGAAACCTTCAACAACGACGAGCAAAGTTTCCGAAGATGGGCTAGGACGGTTTGTAACCTTACAGTTGGGGTGTTTGGACAAGGTTTTCAAGACGTTTTGGACTATTGTTTAGACCTTGAGGATGCAGTGGACTTTGGAATTTTAGAAACAAAATTTGGGGATGATTTGGACCCCGATGGAATTCCAAGCTTAGATGACAAATGTGACCAGTTGTATTGAGTGCTCAGCTCGTTGACCACAGGGGAATCTGAAGACCTGGTGGTCGGATGTGCAAACTTGGATGCTTCGGGATTCGAAGCTTGGCGGCGTTTGAATCACCGATGGGACCCGGTCACAGCGGGTCGGAAACGAAACATCCTTAGGGCAATTTTGAATCCAGAACGAACCAAAACGTGGGAAGGAGTCAGGCCGGCAGTGGAACAGCTTGATGATCCGAAGGTATGAAGCCCGAAAGAATGAGAACGGGCAGCGTGAGACCTTAGGAGATGACATCAAGTGTACGGCCATAGAACTCTTAGTACCACAGGATCTTGAAAAGCATTTGATCCTCAACAAGAGTAGGTTGACATCCTACAGCCTTATCAAACAGGAGATTGAAGTTTTGATGGAAACCATGTTGGGTTCCAAAGGAAAAATTCACAGGCCGGGATCAGCGGCCGCAGCAGCATCCAACCAAGGACCAGCGCCCATGGAGGTGGATTCCTTCGCAACATGGCTGGGTTCCTTGGTAAAAGGGAAAGGAAAAGGTAAAGGTGGTAAGGGAACCCCCAAAGGTGGTAAAAGTAATGACAAAGATATGACCTGCTATAACATAGTAAAACGGGACACAAAGCTGCGGATTGTTGGAGTAAGAAAAAGGATGGATCTAAAGGCTCAAAAGATGGAAAAGGGAAGAAAGGCTCAAGCAAAGGCTCAAGCAAAGGCTCAAGCGATGGCAAGAAAGGAAAAGGAAAGGGAAAGCATAAGAAACATGCATCGGCCCTTGATGAGGCCGCAGGAGAAGAAGATGCCGAGTATGAAGCGGGTGATGAACCCGAGAATGAGGAAGTTGGCACATTCGAGATGAATGGCGTCACAGTAAATTCGGAACCACTGGAATGTGGTGAGTGGACCAAATTCAACCTGGATACGGGAGCAGCATAAACAGCAATCCCGAATTCCTGGAATGCTGTCCAATGGACGCCAGGAAGCACTGTAACCTTCAAGACAGCATCAGGTGAATTGGTTCCCAGTGAAGGAACTGGATCCTATGAGGGATCAGACGAGAATGGATTCCGGTGCAAGGTCACTGGACCAATGGCCAATGTGCACAAACCGTTGGTATCGGCTTACAAGTGTCTGAGCAAAGTCCGTCTGGCAGTTCTTGATGAACATGGAGGCCACGTTTTGCCTTTGAGCTCAGCAGCAGCGAAAGACATCCAAAGGATTGTGAAGAAAGCCGCAGCCAGCGAAAAGCGCAAATGGCTGAAGTTGTATCAGGAGAAAGGCATTTATAACTTCTACCTGCATGGAAAGAGCCCGACAACGGGTGTGGAAAACCCTCAGCAGGAGCAGGGTTTTGGCCGGCAGCGGATGGACGTGTAAGTCCGACCAAAGAGATAGGAGCAGCCGGTGAAGAGGTTGAACAACCACCAAATCCAGCGGGCCGACCCGAGGATGACGGTGGTGAGGAAATCGAACTAGAGAAATTGCAAGACCGGTGAGAGTGAGGTCGCCAACCGACCCTGCACCGGATGAAGTGGAAGAGCATGAGAGTACTGGGCACATCCAGTACAGGAGTTGGTGCCGCCATTGTGTGGCGGGCCGTGGTGTTGGACAGCAACACCGGACTCGGGGAGAACAAGCCCGAGCACAAGACGGGATGCCCACCATCACATGTGACTACACGTTCATGTCAGGTGGTGGGGCAGAGCAGGAAGATGAAAGGGTGAAGCCCATCCTTGTGATCAAGGGTAGCCGGACATCGGCAGTAGCGGCCACCTTTGTTGACCACAAAGGACCGACACCGTATGCGGTGAAATATTTTGCCAATTTTCTGAAGATGCTTGGGTATCGGAGGATTTTGGTACAGTGAGATGGGGAACCGACCATCTATTGTGGCGTTGAAGACGCAGGCCGCGGAGGCGGCTGGCTTGGAGGCAGTTCCAACAGAAAGCCGTCCGGATGACCACCAAGCGAATGGAATGGTGGAGCAGGTGTGCAAAGAAACAAAGATGCACATCAGAGTTGGAAGGTCAGCTTTGGCAGAGAAGCTGAACCAGGCCCTAGGTGACACGGATCCACTACTAGCATGGCTTCCGAGGCATGTTGGGGATTTGCTGAATCGATACCCAAAGGGCAGTGATGGGAAGACCCCTGAACAGAGGAGGTCAGGAAAGCAGTGGCGAAAGCCAGCCATAGCTTTCGGAGAGCGGCTGTATTACAAGCCGGTTGGAGCGGTTGCAAGGACACCGAGTGGGACGATACATCGGGCTTGCAGAGACGTGGCCCCGGCATCTTCTTCTTCGAGGGTGCTTGCCGCAAGTGGGCCGCATTGGTGCGGTGGAAAACGTTTCACCCAACCAATTGGAATTTGGTGCATAGATTTGAAAATATTCAAAAAAAACAAGAAAAAATCACAAGACCAAAGGTCAAAAAAGAAAACAAAAAAGACCAAAAAAATTCGGCGCAGCAATATCTATTTGGACAAGAGCCTGGGCTTTCCCAGGTCACTGCGAGATGTCAACAAAACACGGCCATTGGGTCGAAACAAGAGCCTGGGCATTCCCAGGTCACCTTCAAATGTAAAAAACAAAAGACGGCCATTCGGTCGAAACAAGAGCCTGGGATATCCCAGGTCACCACGAAGTTCCATAAGAAAGACAAAAATGGAAAGACTTCGCTCACTTTCCCTAGTGGCTGGAGCTGGCTGCTGTTGTGCTGGTGCTGCTGCTTGCCTGCTGCCCATGCCTCACTGACGAGCTGTTCCAGCCACTTGGTTGCATATACTAGCCTAAATGGCTCCCTTCCGGTCGCGATGGGGTCCGATGCCATGGAGTTGTGGAATGACACCTGTGACCTGCTGCTGCCTAGTTCTCCTGCGTATGCGGCTGCCGGCGACGTGCTGATGCATTTTGACGAGCCGTGGCAGTCCTTTGGGATCTTGGCACTTGAAGTTTTTCCATTGTTTTCCCCCGAACTTCCTTGCACTTGGCTGTTTTGCGCTGCCACTTCTTTGCTTTCGTGGCTCATTGGCCGCAAACGCAAAAGGAAACGGAATAAGAAACATGTGAAACCTGGTGCTCATTTGAAAAAGAAGAAACAAAGGACCAGAAAGGTCCGGGTCTTGCACATTTGTAGATTTGCGGGGTGCACCCGGGTGCGTGCTCCACGTTTGATTTGCAGAAGAAAAAGGATGAAACTGTGGTTCCGACGCCGTAGTTTTCGTTTCAGTGTGCCTTGGAAAAAGCAAAGTCCGAACGTTTGTGAGTCAAGACACCCAGGTCCAGGTTGGGCTCACTTCTCGAAGCGCTATTTGGATTTAATTTTGTCACCTGTCCTTGCTGGAGGTGCCTCAGCCACTTGGGGTTTCAGACGAAAGAGGAACAGGAAAGTCACGGCTCAAAACCAGGCCAATGAGTTTACAAGAGATATCATTGCCTTGCTCAAGTCCTGCCTGAACCAAGGCACCTCTCCTGACCAGCTTTGGAATGCTGTTCAGAAATGTGCTGGTTCCAATAGCATAAGTGCTAGTCGGACCAGTAAACAAAAGAAAAAGAAACTTGTCGGTGCTAAGGTTCCAGCCAGCAAATCTCAGCCCTTGGAGTGGGTTGACAAAAATGGTAAGGTTTGGACCTATACGGTTGATGATTCCGGCTGGTGGAAGTGGAGTCAAGAGCCTTGGTCTTATAATAAGTCTGACACCTCAAACTGGCAAGGGCGTGCTAGCGCGCCAGAGTGGGACCCAGTTGCGCCTGTCGCTGTTGGCAGGGACAACAAATGGATTTCTGAGGTTCGAATTGCTGACTGGGACCAGGTTGCTCCACCGAAACTGGTCTCCTTTCCAAAAAAAAATTAAGGCTGCCCTCAAACAGAACCAACCTGTTGCAGGTAATTTGGTTGAGATTTGGTACACCAAGACTTTGACTGAGCTTCAAGACCTTTGGACTTGTTTCAACCAAAAACAGGGATTGACTGCGCTCCTTTTTGGCCCTGCCAAAGATTCAGAAGGGGTCCTTCACACACGTTTTTCTCTTGGAAGGGGAAGCTTTGGACATAAAATCGAAGCTGCAGGTTTGCTGCAGATTGGGCCCACCAAAGGGCCATGGCTTCAAAAAGCCCACACAATTCAACTTAGCAAAATGCCTCAGGTTCAGCGCCAGACGGTTCGAGTTGCTGCACCTTTGTCATTTCGCCAACAGTTTTTGGGGATCTCCAGTCAGGATTCTCCCACAGCAGTGCTTCGGGCCTTGGCAGAGATCGCTGCTGCTCCTGTGTCGGAATTCACTGGAGGTAGGTGGCAAACACAAGATGTTAACAAGGTCGGGCCTCAACTTGTTGTGTTTTTGCGCTTGAAACAGGAGATTGCCAAAAAACTTGCCGATGCCAGCGGCAACAAGGGCTTGTTTGTCAGTTTGATTAATCCCAAACAACCTTGCAATTTCACTCCTTTTTGGATACCACGATTGTCCAAGGAGGACAATGAGACTTATTTGCGAAGGGTTTTGCAGATGAAACTTGAAAGACAACAGCCGGTTCTTTATCGCCATGGAAATGGTACCAATTTGGGATTTCCCAAGCGCGATACCGATACCACGGTTCACAAACCCAAAGTTCACATTGTTCATGGGGTCCCCCGCTCCTGGGGGTCGGAAGAACTTGAAAAGATCCTCATTGAACAAGGTTGGACCATGTGCAGTAATTTCTCCAAGAAACGAAACGCTTGGAATTTCTTGGGAAGAAGCCCGGAAAATCAAGCTTCCAGGGCCACTTGGAACTATGATGTTGTCAATGAGGATAATATCCAACAATGGTCAATTGCGGTGCATGTTGCTGTTCGTGCACGGCCAACTCCCCAGGAAACTGTTTTTCTCCAAGGTCCTAAAAGGGTCCGCAATTTGGGACTCTTCATGAAACCAGCAGACCTGGCTGACGACCCTGAAAGGTTGCCTGATGCGAACGGTACTGAGGATCAAACTAAGCCAAAGGTCCCTGATGATCATGATTCGGAATCAAGGACCACTGGCCGTGCACGTAGCCGCTCGCCACGGGCTGCTGTTGCTGCCACGGCCTTGGATCCGGCTTCACAGGCTTCTCAAGCTCAAAGTGAGAGCCCTGTCAAAATCGAACAGGGCAAGGAAAAGAAAATCAAATTTGTTGAACCTCTGGATCCTACTGAGGCCCTCAAGATCGGTTGGTCCGAATGGGACCAGGGAGGTATTGGAGATTGTTTCTTCCGTGCTGCTTCAGTTTTTACTCAGGACAAATGCAAAAAACAACCTAGCCAAGCTGATTCCACTAATGACGGAGCTTGGTTGAGGTCTCAAGCCATCAGCCATATTCGCAAGCATTCCACCAGGTACAAGCAACTGTTTGGAAGTCAAAAAGAATTTGAGGCTTGGGTTTCTGCTGCCGCTCGTCAGGAACACTGGGCGGAAGGGAAGCTGATTCAAGCCACCTGTGAGAAGGTTGGCCGACCTGCCATTATTTGGGGAAAAAAAGTTGAAAATGGCTACGCTACCTTCACCCGCCTTGTTGTTGCAACTAGGTTTTCGAATGGGCTTGCTTGCTGTGCACGGGATCAGCAACCCATGGTTTTTCAGTTGTTTCAGAAACACTACACTGCTCTGGTTTGCCCTGAAAATGGTCAAATTCCGGCCAATTGGTCCCGTGAAACTCCCAACACCGTTATTGACTTGGAAGGTGGGACCAGGAATGTTGCTGCCAGCTCGGCTTTCGCTTCTCCCATGCGGACTCCAGGTACTCCTTCAGTTTGCACTCCCTCTGTCCAAGATGAGAGCGATGATTTTGCCACTAAGGCGGTTTCTTCCCCTAGTTGCTTTTCCAACTCAGCCCAGGCTGATTTATTGGCCAGAGCCGGAGATAACGGTGTCCAAGCTGAAACTGAGGTTGCGGATGATGTCCGTTCTTGCCTCACACCATCGGTTTGCACTGTCTCGAGACCGGAACGTTCACACTCTCAGGCGACTCCTTCTGTGCACACAGTGGCTGCGAACTCAGCTTTCTCCTGCTCTCATGTGCCTTGGCCTGCTGCAGCTTCCACTGCCGGGGTTAAGCGGCGGCTTGTCGGGAAACAGCAGGTGTGGGAGCCACCTGCCGATAACAAGGTTCCCACTTGGACTTGCCCTGTTTGTGGTTTCCAGAATTTCAACGCTTATGGGGCTAAAAGTGCTGCCAAAATTCATCACTTCAAACATGCCCACCCTGACATCCCCAAACATATATATGCTCCTGGGCTCAAGACCGCTCCTTTTGAAGCTTCCCCTTTAATCCCCGCAGCTCAGCGGGATTGGAGTTGTGTTTTGTGTGACTATGGTCTTCCCACTCTGGCCCCCGCTGAAAGGCTCAGGGCTATCAAAAAGCACATCAAAGATCACCACCCTGAAGAGACTTGTCGCTCTATGGTCTATAAGAGGCAAATTGGCCGTCCTCCTCCCCCTTCTTTTGGTGCTAAAATGACCGACAGAGTTGCTGCTGCGAGGAAAAAGATGTATCCCACTCGCAACTTGATTCTGCTCATTAGTCAAAAAAGAGGATATCCTTGTCGGAATTTTATTTGTCCCGACTGTTTTTCTGTCCTTGGAAGTAAAACTGGTAGTGCCAAACCTGATGCCACTTGCAAACAGCGTCAAAAGGAAATGCAGGCCAACGGTTTTGTGCTGGCGCGCAAGAGATATTGGTGGAACAATTTGGTTTCCAAGACCCCTCACCTTGCTGACGAATTTCTTAAAAAGGCCCAGCTTGCTCGCAAGACGGTTGAAGAAACCTTGAAAGTTGGAGTCGAAACTGAGAGTACCATTCGTTGGAAAAAAATGCTGACTGACAGGGCCAACGCCAAAAGCAGCAAGCCTTCTTCGTCCTCATCTGTCAAGTCCTCCCGTCCCAAGGGCAAAAAGAGACCTGTTGCTAAGGTTCAACTCAAACCCAAAGCCCGTCCTACTAAGGGTCAACTCGCTAAGAACAGACATGGGGGCAAACGTGGGGTTAGGGTTGGCGAAGCGAGCCACCCTGGCCCAACCAACTTGAAGGTTGTCACTTTGAACACCCAAAGCAGCTCGAATACTTGGGCCTTTCTCCACCAAGTCCTGACTGGCAGTGACATCGATGTGGCCTTATTGCAAGAAGTTTCCTTTAATCCCTCAGAGGCGGCAGCTTTCTCAAGGTATCTTCGGAAGAAAGAATTCTCCTTTTACTATCAGAAGGGTTCTCCAAACCGTCGTCAGGGCAACGGCTGTAGCGGTGGCGTTGGACTGCTGGTTCGTAAAACTCTCCCCCAAAGGTTTGCGTTTGCCGATGGGGACCAGGAAGCTCAATCCTTGTTTGTCTGGGTTGGTGGAGTCCTTTTTGGATCCATCTATGCACCTCCTACGGAAGAAAGCCCAGCCCGTGCGGCTGCCATGTTCCTGGATGCTCTGATCTCGTGCAACGTCCAGGCCAGTGCTACTTGGTGCGTTGGTGGAGATTTCAATGAAGTTCCTTCTCACAGCCATTTTGAAGATGTCGCTGGCGCTATGCATGGCTCCGTCTGCGGCCTCGGTGCTCCTACTCGGTGGGACGGCAACCGGGAGATTGACTTCTTCCTTGTCAACCGTCCCGACCTTGCGTCTGCGGTTTCCAGTTTGGCTTTGAAGCTCAGTGACCACAAGATCCTTCAGATGCAGCTTGCCGTGTCCGTTCAGTCCCCGACAACTGCTAGCCTGCAAAAAGGCCCCGATCTGACCAAGCCTACTCATGTTGAATCCGAGCAATGGCGCGAAGTCGTTGAAAAAGCCTGGGAGCAAACCACTCAAGATATCAAGGGAGTTGCTTCCCCCTTTGCTGAATGCACCGTCCAAGAGCACTGGGAGCGCATTCAAGCCTTATTTCGGCAGACCTATCAACACGCTTTTCGACAAGTTGCTGTTCGACACTCTGAGAAAAAGCTTGCTCTCAAAGGTCAAAATGCCAATGTGAAGTGGCGCTCGCAAGCCGCGCGCGGGCCACGTCCTGAAAATGGCCATAGGAAAGTCCGTCGAAAACTGGCGCGGTGGTATGAACTCCGCCGTTTCTTGATGAGGGACCCTTCCCAGCTTACTGCGGCTCAGACTATCGAGTTCCAGAACCTCCTCAAAAAGCTTGACCTTGCTGAGACCGGCCCTCCTCCCTTGCGAGAGGTTCAGGCCAGGATTGATGCGATTTCTTCTTTGCTCGGACAAGCTGAAAAACAAGCAAAGGAGTCCAATATCCGTCAATGGAGACTTCGTATGCAAAACGTTGCTTCTCTTTCCAGGTGGCTCAAGTCTAAGCAGAACCCATCGCACTGTGTTGTTACTGGTACCGACAATGTGGTTGACGGTGCCACCGCCATTTTCCAATTTTGGCATGACTTCTGGCGAGACCTCGATGCTGGCCGCCCTGCCTTTGCTGATCGAGTCTCTACGGCCCTCGCTGGCATCCCACAAGACTTACCAGCTCTTCAATGGAATTGCCCTAATGGAGTCCAGCTCATGGCCACTGTACAGGGATGTCGCGGCGCTGCTGGAGCGGATGGCTGGACTGCCGACGAAATTCGCTACTTGCCGCTTGATGCCTTCAACTTGGTTGCTAATTTCTTTGAGCGATGTGTTGCTGAAGGGGAGCTTCCGAGTCAATTCTTTGAAGCCCGAATGGTTTGCATACCTAAGGCGGCCAAAATCACTGATTACCAAATTCATGTGGATCAATGTCGTCCCATCACGATTCTGAGTGTTTTTTGGAGACTTTGGATTTCCACCATCTGCAAATCACCCGAAATGAAGAATTGGATTGATGCTGTCATTCATCCCTCTATCAATGGTTTGGGGGGAGGAGACATGTATACCACTATTACCCGTATTTTTGACCAATTTGATCAAGACGGTTACATCCTTGGTTTGGATTACTGCAAAGCTTTCGACTGCCTCGATCCCCTTGTGACTAAAGAGCTACTTAGGCGGTATGGTTGGCCGGAACCGTTCATTTCTTTGTGCACCAGGGTTTGGGGGGGACAAAAGCGGTTCCTCTCTTGGGGCCATCACACCCATCCTCACCCCCTTCCTTCCGCTTCTCAGCCTCAGGGTGACCCCCTTGGTCCTCTCATCATGTCTCTTTGGGTCCTGTCGGGGGTTTTGTCCGTGCAGTCCGAAGGGTCGTCTGTTTCCACCTACTTGGATGATCGTTGTGTCACTGCGGTGTCCCCTGCCATCTTGCGCCAATCTTTGTCCCGGTGGGAGGCTTGGTCTGCTGGTGTGGGCTTGCTTGAGAGCGTTGCCAAAACTGTGGCCGTTGGGCGCAGGGCTGCTGAGCGTTCTTTGCTGCAGTCCGAGTTTCAGCCGTCGATGGTCTCGTGCTGGATCCGTGTCCTTGGTGCGTGTTCCTACTCATCCCCCCGTGGTCTTACCCCGGTTGAATCTGAGCGTGTCTCTGCGGCGTTGCAATGCCTCTCTCTCCTGGGTGGCGTTGGGTTCAACCTTTCCCACTTCCTTACCAACTGTCGCTTGTTCGCCCTCTCCAAGGTTGGTTTCGGTTGGGTTGCGCGTGCCCCTCCCCTTTATGCGTCCCAACGGTTGTTCACGGCTGTCTGGAAGAACTCTCGGCGTGTTCGATTCTCCAATCCCTGGCTTCGGGCCATGCTGCTGGGGGGGAATGTCCATTTGGATATTACTTGGATCACCCGGTTGGTTGGGAGTCTCATCCGTGGCTCTGTTCGGTATCGCCCCCGTTGGTCTTTGCGTCCGGGCACGGTGGCGTCCTGTCTTCATGGCTGGCTCATCGATCGGGGGTGGCGTCTTGTTCGGGAATGGGTCTGGGAACACGACTTCGCTGCTGTTGCTTTGGATCTCTTCCCCCCTAGGGTTTTGCCCTCCCTTCTTCCTGGCTTGGCGGGTGTGGCCCAGCATAATCTTCGTCAAGGATGGCGAGCCTGGTGTTTTCAGAAGTGGGCCAATTCAGGCAGGCACGAAGTGCAACAACTCGAAGAAGCTACCAGCGCTATCTTTCGCAACTTGAACTTCCAGGACATTCGGGACTGGGCCTTGTCCAATGGTACTGCTTCCTCCATTGCCTTGGGTGCGACTTGCTCACCTGCCAATTTTCAGGTGCGAGACCCTACGAAATCTATTTGTCCTTGGCCCGATTGTGACGAACTTGGGACTTGGAATCACATTTGCTGGACTTGCAGCAAAAGACCCTCGACTATGACCCGCCCTCATGACTGGTTAGCGAGGTTTGGATGGTCGCTCATTACTGACCAAACAGACACTGTGGCACAGGTTCGTGTGTGGTTGCACACCTGTCAAACTAAGGTTTGGGAACTAAGGCACAACAGCTAAGGTCCTAGTGTGTGCTGAGGCTCACCTCATGTTGGCGCTGCTGCGCTTTTTCTTGCTGACTTCAGCTCTTGCCACGGCTCTTTAGCCGATTCGCCCTTCGGGGCCATCTTGTTGCGGCGCTGGTTTGGCGGTGGCGCAATTGAAAGCTATATATGGGACGATACATCGGTCACCACGGAAGTTGTTGTTAATGACGGATTCCGGTGTTGTCAGAGGACAAGGGATCCGGAGACTAAGTCCAGCGGAGGACCTGAGGGACCTTCGAGGACGAGATCCTGATTGGTGAGGAGAGACTTGCTGTGGCAGCACCAGAAAGGGTGGCTGTGGTACCGCCTGCAGAGAGGCGGGTGTACATCCGGAAAGTATGGGAGCACCGCTGGGTGCCCAGGTTGTATTTGTGTGTTGATGGACGAACCGACTGTGGTTCCACTCACAGAGGCTTGCAGAGCAAGAATCATGGATCTCATGCAGAGGGATGAGACAGGCCGTCAACGGCTGGAGGCGCATGACAGGCGCAAGAAAAGCCGACAGGAGTTGGCTGAGAAGAAGGTGAAACGTTCAGTTCAGGACGCACCGGTCACTGAGAGTGACGTTGCGGTCAGAGACGCCGTTGGAGCACCAGGGGACGCCTTGGGCAACGGGTCATCGCAGGCAGCTCATCTGGGGTGGAATTAATTGGGGATTATGTGCTGATTGTTGGTGCTTGAACCAATCATACACATATCATGTTTTGTTTTTCTCCATTTAAATTTTCCAAACCATCATGTACATTTAATCAAATAATAGAAAGCAATCTTATACATGTACATTTCAACATAAAAAACTAATGGCTACAAAGCTAGCTTGCAATATGATCGTATGTAGGTTGTAGATGTTTGTTTTTGTTTGTGCTTAAGTGCAGAGCCCCTCCCCGCTCTGCACGGTGGCGCCCTCCAACAAACTGCTATAACCAAGTAGCGGCGCCTCCCATTAGATTACTATCAGGAGGCAATGCCTTCCTTGACAGCTGCAGCAGGAGGCCTCATTGGCGGCCTGCCTTGCATGAAGCTATGCAATGCACACTGTATTCCCAGGAGGGTTGTTGAAAAAGACCTCCTTGAGTTGCTGGTCGCGGAGCGGGCAAGCTTGCCCAACTCAAGCCCTTACAGGCATACGGCAATCAAACAACTCTTTTTGACAGCTCAAACTTGCTGACTCTTCCAAAGATCTAGTCGTCTCTCAGCCATGTCAAAAAATCATGCCAAAGGCAGTGGCCACAGCAGCGTCAAGACTAAGTCTCCAAATTTGCAAAGCGAAACTCCAAGTGCACGTACAAGTCGTCCAGGCAAACAGCGGAGCCTTGCAAATGCGCTGCCTGGGGAATTCCTGACCCAATGGCTCCCATGGCACTTGCAATGAACAAAGCAGCGCTTTCCACCTCATCAATTTTTCTCTCCAGGCCAGCCTTTGACTTCAAAGCCACGCATTCTTTCACTTTCTCTTGCAAGGCCTGGATTTCTGCGTTCTTGTCGTAATAGTCAGCGGTCCATGGCACATCTACCAGTTCATCCTCAGGATAGTTCAATGAATTCTGCAGGATTGTAAGGAACAAGATTGCCTGGGCAAGCGCCACGGATCTGGTCCTGTCTTCGACAAAAAATTGCCGGCAGAAAAGCAAACATTCACGAGCGTTCTCAAGTTCATGCTCACTCTTTGCCCTCAGGTTGGGGTCCCATTGCAGAAAGGCACGGATGCCCAGCTGCAGGTCAGCTTTCGCCAGGACACCTTGGGGCTTGGCATTGGCAGAACGAGCTGCTGCCATGTTACTGAACTACTTTGTCAGTTCAAACCTGGATGAGAGCCAAAAACCTGTGAGCGATACAACATGGGAAAAAAAACACGCTTGGTTTCTGGAGAGGCTGACCAAGTCTTAATGTTTGAACTCTGCTGGGAGGCTGACAAACATTGATTTTTGAACTCTGCTGGGTCTAGTGCTTTTCGCGTTTAAAGGATGCCACGTGCCTTGAAAATGCAGTGCGCTAAGAGTCTCAGCACACCAGCACTCATGGCATTTCCAAGCATGTTGCCTAACACGCTTGCTGGAACACATTGCGCAACATCTTTACGCCCATATGCCCCAGGCCACATGCCCTGAAGCAAGAAAAAATCTCGTGGCTTCAAAAACCTTTGGCCCTGATGCCACCAATATCCATGCTTTCCTTTACACCGGCTTGCTGTGAGACAAGGGCACGTGTCCTGCATCCAATTTGCCTTTGATCCACCTGTGTCAACTACGAAGTCAAGGTCTCGCTTGGCAGGATTTTTTTCCCAAAAGCATCTCCGATGCTTGGGTTCTCGTTTAGTTGCACTCGCCGCGGGGGAGCGAGACTGAGTGGTCGACGGAGATGTGTTGGATGGAAGGAAGGAAGGAAGGAAAAGGAAGGAAGGAAAAGGAAGGAAGGAAAAGGAAGGAAGGAAGGAAGGAAGGAAGGAAGGAAGAGGAAGGAAGGAAGGAAGGAAGGAAGGGGAATGAAGGAAGGAAGGAAGGAAGGAAGGAAGGAAAAGGAAGGAAGGAAGAAAGGAAGGAAGGAAAAGGAAGGAAGGAAGAAAGGAAGGAAGGAAAAGGAAGGAAGGAAGAAAGGAAGGAAGGAAACGGAAGGAAGGAAAAGGAAGGAAGGAAAAGGAAGGAAGGAAAAGGAAGGAAGGAAAAGGAAGGAAGGAAAAGGAAGGAAGGAAAAGGAAGGAAGGAAAAGGAAGGAAGGAAAAGGAAGGAAGGAAAAGGAAGGAGGGAAAAGGAAGGAAGGAAAAGGAAGGAAGGAAAAGGAAGGAAGGAAAAGGAAGGAAGGAAAAGGAAGGAAGGAAAAGGAAGGAAGGAAAAGGAAAAGGAAGGAAGGAAGGAAGGAAAAGGAAGGAAGGAAAAGGAAGGAAGGAAAAGGAAGGAAGGAAAAGGAAGGAAGGAAAAGGAAGGAAGGAAGAGGAAGGAAGGAAGAGGAAGGAAGGAAGAGGAAGGAAGGAAGAGGAAGGAAGGAAAAGGAAGGAAGGAAAAGGAAGGAAGGAAAAGGAAGGAAGGAAAAGGAAGGAAGGAAAAGGAAGGAAGGAAAAGGAAGGAAGGAAAAGGAAGGAAGGAAAAGGAAGGAAGGAAAAGGAAGGAAGGAAAAGGAAGAAAGGAAAAGGAAGGAAGGAAAAGGAAGGAAGGAAAAGGAAGGAAGGAAAAGGAAGGAAGGAAAAGGAAGGAAGG